TTATGTAGGTCAGTCCAAATACATACGTACATACATCATCCAATAACAAAATGTTAGATAATTATTGACAGCCGTGACTTGAGATTCCCTTACAAAAGATTGTTGAATTATGTAAATTATGTGCTATTGAGCGGTATAAAAACTGCGAAGGGTCTCAAAATTAAAATAAAATATCAATATGCGACATTTTAACAAGTTTTCGTGTTGAGTTTTGGCAATTTTATTCGACTATTTATTTTTTATTTTTTGTATGTAGAAAATTTGTAATACAGTCAGAAAAAATTAACAAAAATCAACGAAATTTTTTAGCACCTTAAAACTTACACTATACTATACTAGAATTTAATGGGATATAAGACTGTCTACTCAAAAAAAATCTGCAATATCTAACTAAAAATTTTGATGCAATTGCAGAGTTTTTATAATTTTTGCACAAAGTATGAAATATGAATTTTTATGGGTTTTGTTACTTTAACGAGCTAAAATAATAAATATTAAAAAAACCCAACAAAAATTTTCAAAATTTGTTAAAATGTCGCGTGCCTATCTTTTTTCCCATCATTGTACTTCAAACATGTAAATGTGTTTTATATACATGCGTATATCAAATACGCCAGGTTATCAAGCCTTAAGCCCTTTTTATTGAATCATGGTTCCAATACTTATCATTTTAATGAAACAATTTANAAAGAAAAATTTTCAAAATTTGTTAAAATGTCGCGTGCCTATCTTTTTTCCCATCATTGTACTTCAAACATGTGAATGTGTTTTATATACATGCGTATATCAAATACGCCAGGTTATCAAGCCTTAAGCCGTTTTTATTGAATCATGGTTCCAATACTTATCATTTTAATGAAACAATTTAAGTGACTTTACAAGGTTTGGCTTTTGGATTACTTTCGAATGAAAGAGCATCTTTAACTACACCTATTGCTATCGTTAAAATATTGTTTAAGAACCCAATGATTTTTTGCTTTAACGGTTAAATGGCCGAACTCGCGACATAAGTTGTTTTATCTTACTAAAAGACTGTCATTACTCGAAAAACGAGATTTTTCATGAGATGCGTTAAAGTTTTCAAATTGCTCCCAAAATGCCGAAAAAAGTACTCCATATTGCTCTTTACTCGTAAACCATACAAGACGAAACACGAAATTTTTACACAATATGAATCATCGTAAAACGAACACCTCCGCATCGTCTGCATTTCGTTTATTTTTTTTCAGTTATAACAGTCTATTAGTAAATGAGCGACATGTACATACATGCATATGTACGTATATATATACATGTATATTATTTTTAAAGTGTTTCAATAAATGAACAACTACTTTATTTGCACTTAGGTTGCAGAGGACGGCCGTATTCCTGTCGCTATCAAAATCATTCTACGCAAATTTGATCCCCAAAAAAAGACCAGTCATCGTGAGACTAAGCAAGTGAATATTTTGCCCTCCCTCTTTAAGTCACTGACATACACTGAATCTGGTGGTCCCAAAGTCATACTGGCTGATGGCTCTCAAGAAAAGCTGTTAAAAATCATACTACGCCTTTTCGAACGCGTCGTAGACCTGACCAAACCGTTTAATATTACTCTGATTGGGTTAGCATTTTCAAAATTTCAACAACGTAAGCTCGGTTCTTCATCCATTGCGAACTTTCTCATCAAAAAAACCGATTTAGAAGTTCAATCTATTACATCGTTAACAAACACAGATGTAACCACATCATCGGGAAGTCCAACACCTTCGATTTCATCAACAAATAGCGACGACGCTTTCCGTTCATCGCCTACTACATTTCAGTCCAGTGATCAGTTTTACCGTCGACGTGCAACTGCCGCTTCACCCATTCCCATGTTGATTGACAACGGTTCTGAATCTGCGGCAACAAATTCAGACTTTTCGGATTTTTCCGAGACCGAGATAGAGCCTTCACCCAAAAAAAGTCGGATTGGTCGCCTATTAATGGCAAAACGACGCTGCCTCGGAAGCTCAGCCGTTTGCAGCTCCAATGATGCCGCCGACGTTGCGTCACCGAGTAAATTACGGGTTTGTGATCTACGTTTAAATTCACGTGACAGTGAGAAAGATTTCGTTACCAGTCCAACAAGCGTTTCGACAAGTGCTACCACTTCTTCAGCTGCGTCATCAACATCGCCAGCTTCAATGACGTCATTCACTCCTCTGCAGCGTTTTTGTACAATACAGCCTCCATCGACTTTACTTATGAAAATTAATCGCGGAACGGTAACCAATCGTCCTTATGTAACACAACGCCAAATCTCATCCACGCCTTCGTCCACAACTTCTTCACCATTACCATCGCCAATGGATGAAACTTGCAGTGTCGCAAGTACACTGGCAACTGTCGACATTCCAGCAGCAAAACAAGTAGGAGATATTTTACTATCCGCCGACACACAGATAGATGCTTTCACAGGTGAAACAACTAACTCTGATGTGGTCTCCACCACAACAAGTACAACTACCATTACCGGAAATCTATCGAACATTCCCTGTCCGGCCGGTGTGGATACGGCAGTTTTCAATGAGTTACCATTGGATGTCCAAAACGAATTAATTGAATCTTGGCGCAGTTCACTGGCTGCAGCTGCAGTTGCCGTAGCCAATGGTAATATTAGACCAACCAGTAGTGAAGTTTCGCCTGGTGCAGCATCTTCCACTCAGACAACTACCACGGTTGCCACTAGAGCTGGCGGTGCATCGCCAAATACGAACAGTACACAAAAAAATACCCTTTACAGGTATTTCCTGCGAAACAAGTGATATCTGTAAGGCTCATTTTAAAGTATTTAATTTTCTTTGAGATGGGCAAATGCATGTTGACATATGTATGTGCAAGGGCAAGAAATAAATATCCAAAAGCAACCATTAATTTGCCGCATGGTTCTCAATTTATACCATAACTTTTTAATCCTGTTTTTGTCATTCGTTGGATAGCTGACTAAGCATTTGTTATATAGTGAAAATTAAAGACGAAAATTGCGTTTTTAATAAAAAAAAAGATATACAAAAATTACCTGAAGTGTTTTTACTTATAGCCGTTTTCCCAGTGTTCAGTTAACTTAGATCTAGCGAGAGCCAGCTCCCTAGCTACCTCGGGAGTTTTGCTTTGTTCAAGACACCTTACATATGGCCTCGCAACTGAGCCGCTGAGACCGAACCTCCTGGAGTCGGTCAGCGAACCGGATTTCCCTGCGTGTGGAAGAGTTGGCGGATTCGCCCTTCTATCCGAGTGGCGTTCCCTCTCCTTCTTCAAAGAGCCGCGCGAGGTCGTCGATCCGGACTGACGGGGGACCAGGTTTGCCCGCGCGAGGACTCTATGATACCTCCTTCTCACACTATCTCTACGCGGTCTCATGACCACTATCTTCTTTCAAAGCCCTCTCGTTGTTGTTGTAGTGGCTACAACAACCTCGCCCAGATCGGTTGATATCTCAGTCGTTGTCGTCAAGTTCCACTGACGGCAGTCCTAAGAAGCGTGCAGCCTCCACAGGGTCGGTCCACAAGGACAAAGTCGTTAGGGTTGTCGGGTTTTCCGGGCATGCGAAGAGATGTTTCGAGTCGGGGGCCTGTCCGGACACTCATTTGGCACATCCGCGTTTAGTCTGCTCAGGTACGAGTTTAACCTGCTGCAGTAGCCAGAGCGAAGTTGAGCTATTGTGGTTCCCTCTCGTGGAAGATGCCGCTGCTCGTAGAAGGTTGATCGTCCTCTCGCGCGTGCTTTATAAAGAGTGCCGCTTCTTTCCCAGTTTTTGTTGTTACTTTTGTTGCTGCTTGTACCTTGTTTTTGTTTTAGTTTTTGTTGTTATGTTCTTTAGTTGTCTTCATCTTGCTCGTACCACCGCATGTCTGACCAGCCAGGCGTAGCGGTCTAAGTAGTTACTGGGGATCTCAATCGTCCGCCGCGACAGCTCCCTTGCCGGTGCGGCCCGGTGTCGAGAAGGCGCCGTTCAGTTCCAGCCGGTTTTCCTCCTGGCTGCAAACCGTCCAATGGGCACGGTGTCGGGTTGAGGATTTTTTAATACGATAGAGAAAGAGACTATTTGCTAGTCAGAGCTTCTGATCAGGTCAGCAATAGTTCCGGATCATTGGTGAAGGTATTAAAGGCAAGTTAATTGATTAAACAAAACATTAAACAAAATTTAATCATTTTTAAATACTTGAAAAGTCCATTTCAAAGCCACAATTCGCTAACTGTTTTCTGTATCTAGTTTCATTCCGCAAGTCAAATGTACATATATATTTTACTCAATTTCACACCCCGAGTATGAGAAATACACAAATATAGTTTTCAGTTACAGTGGATCCCAATTTTATTTAACTGAAGCTTGCCTTTTTTATACCAGTCTAATAAAAGGCTAACTACTTAAGTGTAAGCAAATTGGTTTTATACTAACATACATACATATGTATACATTGTATTTTTGAAAATTCAGTTCAATCATTTAATCTATACTTGGAACAAAAAGTGTGGTTGCACAAAACCTAATTGAAAACTTGATACAAGTAAGCGTTTAGAGATTTAAGTTATTGATAACTAATTCTAAAGGTTATGCTACGTATGTAGATGGATTGGTGTATTGCTGGTATTTTTCAAATGTATAATATTTATGCGCGTTAAACATTTATAAATCTAATTTATACCTACAAATTATCAATTAAATTATTGCAAAAGTATCGCCAGAAAGTCTGTTAGCATTAACAGACGAAGACTATGACAACAAAAATTTAAGTTTCTACATATTAGCTTTCAATTCAAAACAATTAGTTTAATATCCAAGTTTGTGTGTAAATTTTGGCCCCATTATGGCGACTGCTGTCTAGTAGCTTGCCTACCAGTATCGTACTTTGTATTACGTATAGCGATTATTCTCGTATACAGAAAAGCGCAGAGAATATCCGAGTTTACTTTTTTACAGTAATTAGCCACTTTGCTCCAANAGCCAATGGTTGTAGATTGCCGTTCGACAATTTTGTTGCTGTCATCGTCGTGTTCATCATGCCCACTCCCACTATCATCCCCGCTGGCGATATCGTCGTATGAACCGACGATTCCCGACAGCTATCCGAGTAATTTCTGTTGTGCAATAATGCGCCGGAGGAGATCAGGTCGCCGGTGTGGTGCGTGTTTCTTGACGCGATTGAATTTAGACTTGCCTCGCTTCCGTTTAACATTTCTCTAAAAAAAAAAAAAAAAAAAAAANTCTAAAAAAAAAAAAAAAAAAACGTTATATAGTTGTTACATCGTTATTAAAAGTTGATATGTTTGTACTTACACTTTTCGGCTGCTGGGTTGCGGAGAGTGTAAGAAAGAGCTTGGCTGCCGACGACTTCCAATGCTGGGCTGCGTGTGGTCCTGTGGTTAAACATTGTCTTATACATCCGTTCAAACGTTCGCCGCTTGGTGTGCCGATAATACACGCAAACTGAATATCGTGAAAATAAATGGAATGTTAGAAGTTCTATGCAAACTATGCGGCAAACAAATTCAAGTCAAACTACGAAAAACACTTCAAAATACGACACGATATTCAATCTTTCGTGTATTGTCAGTTTAAGCGAAAATTAAATAACTATAAACTAGTTCTAAGAGCTGTGTATATTGGGGTGGCTCAAAAAAAGGTTTCTAATTTTGCACCGGAATTATAAAATGTACCTACTATATTTAAGACTTTTGTCAAAATAATTCGGAAAATTATTAAGATCTACCCGGATGTGGACCGATTGGAAAATAACACCAAACATGTCATTATTTCGATTCCGCTGATTTCTTTTTTTTGTTAATTTGTATGCATACATTTTAAGCTTATGTAACTTCTTCTATCTGCAATAATTTTTTGGAAATCATTTTTTTAAAAACCGATTTTATTAAAAAAAAAAAAAAAAAAATTNGTCTACGTAACCGGAACGACCCAGATTTATATCTGGCCAAGGACTGTCACTCCAGCAACACTCCCCAAAAAGTCTTTGGGGAATTTGTATGCTGCTACAACAACAACAACGTAAACCTTGATATTTTTCCGAAACATTTTGGTGGACGTCTTAAAACATTGTAAATTTTATAATTACGAGGGAAACCCCACACCGATTTTTTGGCATGGAGTGTGATGCACCTATGTACACTTACATATAATTATATATTTGTATTTGTACCTGCAGTCGAGTGGACACATAGAGTATAGCCAACATGAACAAAGTAATAAACTGCTCAATTGAAACACATATGTAAATTCATAGGTAAATTTAAAAACAGATTTTCTTTGGTTATAATATATGTATTAATTTTTAATACTTCTTATTTAAAATATAGTTCGGCCTCCCACTGAAAACACATACTAAGCAACAGTTACAAAACTTAAGCAAAGTTCACAAAAATTAATCACATTCCAAAAAATCTCATCAAAATGACCAACTTTTTATCTGCAATTTGTAGAAAATTTTCGAGGAAGCTATTCTATAGCCCAATCATTTTAGTAAAATAAGTGCAAGTTTGCAGTCGCTAAAAATTACCGATCATCTTTCTCCGAGGGTGTTAAGCATTTTATTCCATATAACGCAATGACAAAATTAATTTTTATGTGAAAAAATCTCGGCAAAAAAAAATTATAAAAAATCAACGGTAATGTTTAGCGACTTTTAACTCGGTGATATTTTGTAGAAACTTCTAAATTACATTGCATTGTACTAAAATTAAATAGGCTACAATTCCGCATACCAAAAAATTTGGCGAGGAGATCTTAAGGAAAAGTTAGCAAATTCCATGAAAGCTTTTTATTCAGATGATTTTTGTTAGATAATATACTTTTATAAAAAATTAAACAAAGGAAAAATAGTCAAACTTTGGCAAAATGTGCTCTTATTTTTGGCATAAGTGTAGGTATGTATGAAAACTTTCACCTCCTTGCTCTTTGCCAAACAGTCTATGTGTCCACACAATCCAAAATATATAATTAATTATTACAGGCATACTTACAGTCTTTCCATGGCCGTATGGCCCAGTTGAGCGATTCAATGCCATGGCTGCATGTTGTTCAAAGTGGCGGCATTCATCGATTTTAGTCAGTCCGTTATATCTATAGCGACATAACTCAGCCAATCGTATTCGCAGCTCTTTTTCGCGTTCAAGTGACATTAATAGACGTTCGTATTCGTTAGCAGTATAAAATTGTGCGAAAACACGAAAGCGATCTCGAAATTCTTTTTGTTCGCGTGTCATGCCCGGATGCTGGGCATAATTGCGGTTGCGAAAAAAATTCGCTACCAACTGATAATCACGCACTAAGCGCTTACGACGCACGCGCTCACGCAGACGTCTTGTATACATGTCAACATGTGCCAATTTCAATAAATAATCAGCTTCAATGTCTTCGCTACTGAGTGCCATTGTTGATATTAACTGTTCCGCCGTTGGATCATATTCTCTTTCAAAGCCATCCCGGTTTGGCATGTACCCCAATTGCGCGGCCTCCTCGTTGGTAATATCTAATGGAGGCAAACGCTGCAAAGCTGTGGAGCCCAAAGGCCCATTGTCTTCAGACGTATGGTCCACCAACAGAGGTCGTTGTGATTGAGCGGGTGTCCAAGTGTGTAGGCCAATCGTGCCATTCACAAAACGCTTAACATATTCTTCTTTGGCATCTTCAGCTGACTTGGTCTCTATATGTTTACTAATGTCTTCCCAGTTTCCGAATCCATACTGTTCTATGGCATCCAGCAGCCTTATCTCCTCTCGAGCCGTCCAAGCTCCCTTTCCGCGAAATACGGATAAAATTGCTGTACCCGTGTCCATAAATTGGTATGCATGATTGTTTTGATGTGCACCGATCTCCGCACCAGAAGCGAAACACTGTAAAAAAAAAAATAAACTCACTGGCTGACAACAAAAACAAATGTCAAAAGTTTCCCAGATGTTGCCTGATAGTGAGTAAACAAATCTTATTCCAATGAATGGAGACGATTCCCATTTCCAATGGATGAAAAACGTCANTAAACTCGCTGGCTGACAACAAAAACAAATGTCAAAAGTTTCCCAGATGTTGCCTGATAGTGAGTAAACAAATCTATATTCCAATGAATGGAGACGATTCCCATTTCCAATGGATGAAAAACGTCATCTCAAATCGCTGAACCGATGGCATCATCGGCTTTTCCAACGAACTCCCCCGAACATTCTGTAGAAATGAACATATTCCAAGGAATTTTACTCACTTGCAAACATAAATCAAAGTTTTCACATTCTGCGCAATGAACACGAATCCCAGAAATGTCGTCTTGGCAATTCGTGCAATTATATTTTGTAAAAAGATCTCCGATATTAGTCATTCTCCCCCAGCACAAAATATAGCTTGTGCTTAACTGCTTGCAGAAAAATTTTCTTTAGAAATGGCGACGATTCAACTATGTTGCCAGAGTGTTTAGTTTTAAGTACAGTGGCTACTGGGCACCATGAACCAAAATTACAGTTCACGCATAGGGATGCAAACGATGCATCGATATTTTTGAAACATCGATAACATCAGTTCGAAATTCGATATTTGCCATCGATGTTTACAATTGCCTAAAATCGCTAAATTGACGATACATCGATGCCAGTTTCAATGATGTTTTAACATCGACTTTAGTGTGACTCGGACTTGAATTCAACTTACCCATAATGCTCCCACAATTTTTGACTGGCCATGAATTTTTATTACTTATTCTTTTGGTGAACACTCAGAAATTCCGAGTTTACTCTATATTTCGATATTAAAAATGCTTCCTTAATCATTAAAAAAGAGCTGGGTTCCCGTTGAAATTTCAACGAAGTTGGGCCTTGGAACTTTAGTCCCAGCGAACTTACTACGGTATGCATTTTTTCTATTTATAGGAAGAGTAGAAGAATGGTAAATAAATACATGGAAATACATCCATAAATATGTAAGTATTTTTCTAATTGAATTACAGAGAGTAGTAATTGAAAAGTTTTAAATTTTCCTTTTATGTGACTACAACATCGGAAACCATCGATATATCGATATTTTTCTGGCGTTATATTTTAGCATCGATGTTCATTTTTCCGATGCATCGAAACATCGATATATCGATGTAACCCTCAAAAATTTGCATCCCTATTTACACAAGAACGCGACGTTGCATGAACCAAAAATACAAGATCACGTAAGAACGCGACGTTGTAATTGTAACTGGTTTTGAGAAAAAAGTTTGCGAAAGCGGGTTCGTCAGCTGAGCGTTTGTTTACATCACAAGCACCACTATTTTACACTTTTATTCAAGTAAAGAAGAGTTAATTCAGCGTTCATGGCCATGAACGAAAGACACAAGATCATGCCTTAAGGAAAGAAAGAAAAAAGTTATTTTCTAGCTGTTGAAATCTCGACGCCATCTTTGTTGTAAGAAGTAAACAACGAAGAGAACAAAAAAAAACGCGTAATTGTTGAACGCATGAATAATCATTTTTATTATGCAAATTCTCCTATAAATCATGTCGTTGTGTTAAATTATTCTTTACCTTATGTGTGCACACGTTGTCACAAGCGAAAATTAAGAAAATTGCAGTAAAAAGCCACCACCAAATTGTAAACAACGAACAAATGTAAACAAACGGCTTATGTCAAAATCGCCCTACTTTTTTCATAAGTGCGATTATAACGGGCCACTCTTCTGCTGTCCTGATCTTGTCTTTTTGGTTCATGGTTCATGGCGACGTTGTATTTGTGACCAGTGATGCCAATACATTTTTGAAAAAATCCCTACCGTTTCTCAAGAAAATCTTTACTTTTCCCTACGCAAATATAAGATTACCTACATATATTTTTCATACATCCAAATGAAAAAAAACTATCTTTTGCAAATTCATGTATTTCATTTTAAATATTAGCAGTAACTTACAATCTTCGCTATATCAATATATTCGCGTAAATTGGCATCACTGTTTGTAACTGGTCACATCACAAATAGAGCTGGGTACTATCGATAGTATCTCTCATTTAGCTCTAATTGCAGATTTATCCCTACAAAATTCGTCACCTAAATGCAACTCGATTTTTACATTAAGAATCTATATGCTAAATAAGAAAAAGTGGCAACATTGCTTTTTCGCGTATACAGTGGATAGCTGCGTTTCAGTGATCGCCGACATCGATGTGATGCTGATAGAAATCTGGATCAATTTGTGATCAACTCTGTTTGTTATGTTTCCTAATTAAGTGAGGAAATTTTAGTTGACAGCACCGACAAATGAATATATACACAAGCAAATGTCCGGTTATGATTAAAACAATTCAAGTTTTTGTATTGAATTCTTGGTTTGAAATTTGTTTTTTTTCCTTTTCAGTAGGGTTTTTTGCACATTATCTTCTGCGTGAGAATTGATCATAATAGATACGGATCTGAAAAAGCAACTGGAACACGGCTGTTTGTCAAAAGCATACGATCTCTATGAACCAAAAATACAAGGATCAGGCCAGCAAACCAGTAGCCTGTTATAAACGCATTTAGGAAGAAAATTGGGCGATTTTGACATTAGCCGTTTGTTTACATTTGTTCGTTTGGGGGTGGATTTTTACTGGAATTTTTTTCATATTCGCTTGTGACGACGTGTGACCACATAAGGTAAAGAATAGTTTAACACAACTTGATTTATAGAAGAATGATTATTCATGCGTTCAACAATTACGCGGTTTTCTTCGTTCTCTTCGTTGTTGACTTCTTACAACAAAGATGACGTCGAGAATTCGACTGCTGGAAAATTACTTTATTCTTTCTTTCATTGGCGCGTGATCTTGTGTATATCGTTCATGTACGATTTCGAACTCTCTTAAATGTACATTTGCTATATGCGATAGCATGAACGCTCTTCGAAAAAATATGATCGACAGTGCTAAATGTTGCATTTTAAATGCAGCAAAAACGCCGCATTACCCAGGTATGATTGGGAATGAAGGAATGTTCGATATTTAAGAAAGTATCGATATCATGAATCGATTAAATTATTTGCATGTAAAATCGATATGGCAATATATCGGGCTAAACAATATCGATATCGGAAAAATCGATGACGAAAATCCTACTCTCAATTGAATAGTATATTAGACCTGCCTATGAACTCACATAATTGTGTTATTTCCATCTTGTATATTTACTGATGATTAACCTCACTTTTTAGGTACGCTTATTCCGGCAACGCATTTTAAGGTAGTAGAAAATGGGAAAAAATTGTGGCCCGTTTTACTCCGTTTTTCGTACTATTTTTAATGGGTCTCGAAAATAACATCAAAACTAATCCAAAAGCTTTTTGGTCCTTTATCAACTCCAAGCGTACTTCATCGGCATTTCCAATTTCCATGCATTACGAAGGGAAGCAGTCATCCTCAATGAATGACACAGCAAATTTGTTTGCTGATTTTTTCAAATCAAATTTTGTAACTGATTATTCTTCGAGTGGTGAGGCTACCTACAATAATAGTCCTGCATCGTTAGATTTCGGATCTTTGATGTTATCGGAAGATGATATTTTTTACGGTATAAGAAGCTTAAAGACCTCCAAACAAGTGGATGTTCATCAAATCTCGTCTTATTTTCTTAAGCAATGCATCGCATCTATTTCCGAGCCATTGCTTCTCTTATTTAACTTATCACTAGCGTCAGGTCATTTTTTGGATGATTGGAAAATCACCTCTGTGTCTCCTATTTTTAAAACAGGTGACAAAAGTGACATTTCGAATTATCGGCCTATTTCTAAGCTTCCTAATATTGCGAAATTATTTGAAAAAATTGTTAGTAGTAAACTTTCATTTGCCATTAAACAATCAATATCCCCCTCTCAACATGGGTTTGTACCAGCGCGCTCTACCGTGACTAACCTAGCCGTTTTTTCAAATTATTGTATATCAGCGTTTGTGGGTGGCTACCAGGTTGATACCATATACACTGATATATCTAAAGCCTTTGATCGCGTGTCACATAATTTACTCCTGCAAAAGTTAAAACATTTGGGTATTCACTCAAGCTTTCTGTCCTGGATAAAGTCTTATCTTTGCAATAGAGTAAATAAAGTTGTTGTCGATGGGATTAGCTCCTCCCCTTTTACTGCGACTTCGGGAGTTCCGCAAGGAAGTATTTTGGGTCCTTTGTTCTTTGTTCTCTTTATGAATGATTCCAGTGCTTGTTTTAAACATTGTGAATACCTGTTATACGCAGATGACCTGAAGGTTTTTAAAAAAATTGAAAATGCCTCTGATATTGGTGTTCTTCAAGCCGAGCTTAATAATTTTTGTGAGTGGTGTTGTCGTAATAAATTAACACTTAATACAAATAAATGTTTTTCTGTAACTTATTGCAAGTCTCGTTCCCCCTTACTATCGTCTTACTCTATTTCAAATGTTGTCCTGAAGTTGAGTACCAAAATTAAGGATCTAGGTGTCGTGTTTGATTCAGCGTTCTCATTTGTCGAACATATCAATTATATTATTCCCAAAGCGTTCTCGTCATTAGCTTTCATTAAGCGAAATAGTGCCCATTTCAAGGACCCCTATACAAGAAAGCTTTTATATAATGCGTTTGTCAGGTCCAAACTGGAATATGCCTCTATAATATGGAATCCTTCTTACGAAGTTCACCATAATAGGATTGAGCGCGTACAAAAATGTTTTTTAAAATTTGGTTTGGCTCAAATTAGGTTTGATAATCCTACTCCACCATATATATCTCGCTGCAAGTTGATTAGCTTGCAAACTCTACGTAGTAGGCGGACTATTTCGGGTCTGTTGTTTTTGCATGATATTATGAGTGGGGAAATTGACATCGATTAGAAATTTCCGCGGGATGAGCAAGTTAAATAAAAGCTTGAAAAAGGAATTCAGCTAAACGAAATAAAAATGTTCCATCGTTTTGAGTAGATCTAATTAAAAGTAATATTTTTTTATCAAGGGTTCTTAATGTTGTTGGTTACACACACCTCAGTTATTTGAGGATTTATTTAAATCCTTAATTTGCATTTGCATAAAAGTTTTTAACTCTTTCCGGCAATTGCGAGGTGGACGATGACCGCAGCATTTTCTCCATAAAATTTGCACCGGTCAATGTGGCACACTTGGTTAAACTTGGAGGTAGAAAAGCGGTTGACCGTGCAACAAAAACACTGAAAAAGGAGTCATTAGGTTTTCCTTACTTGCAAATAAAAGCTATGTGTACCTGGCTGGTTAAGGTACCAAAAACAAAGTTAAATGTGGTGGGTTGATATGCAAATGCACTGGGCACTAAAAGCATTGTATCCAATTGCTTAAAAATACGTTTCACTGGATCAAATGCACTGGTCGAAAGCTTTTTTATTTTGCAAATTTTCAACTAGCCAATTCTGTATACCAAACTTTAGTCGAGGCGTAAATTTTACTTGCACAACAGCTAGTATTAGCATTACTAAACTTTACTAGTTTTTTAAACTGCTTACTATACGTAAAACGATGTATTTCATTGAACATACCGCAATTTTATAATTTATAGCTCAGAGTTTCAGATTTTCAGTCTAATTTCAGATAATTCTCACAAATTATCACTAATTTCTGCTGGAAAGCGTTTCTTAAACCAAAAAACCAGCAGAAACTAACAGCTCCCTCTCGACGTTCCCACGACTGTCGGGTCTACGTAACCGGAAAGACCCAGATTTATATCTGGCCAAGGACTGTCACTCCAGGGGCTCTATTCTGTAACTGTGAGTTTTCAAGTGTACACTGAAAATTGTGTGAACTCTTCATTTTGCGATTCAGGAAGAGTGAGAATGAGTTTTAGCTGTCAAAATTGTGTACACTTCCTCATTTTGCGATTCAGCATGTGTGAGAATGAGTTTTAACTGTCAAAATTGTGTACACTTCTCTTCCGAAAAGCTCACTGAATTTTAGTCGGTGAGTTTTTGGTTGTGAGTTTTGCACTCGGTGTTCACTACAAAAATCTTTGGAGAATTTGTATGCTGCTACAACAACAACAACAGCTCTCTCTCGATCTTACGCTCTTATATTTTTGGCTCCTGCTAATTTGTGCTATTAAAATTTTTACAGGAACGAATGTGGACAAAATCCTGCTAAACCTGTAAGGGTAAGAACATAATGGAGCGGCGATGTTTTGACCCTAAATCGTATATGTTCTGGAACGCATTAAGAATTTGGCGCGAAATATTTAAGCTGAAATTAGTCGAGAACGCAGAACGTGTACTTAAACGCAGTCAGTATACGAGAATTTTGTCGATTACTGGAGCCCTCAGAGTTGCTTACCACAGTGTTGCCACTCATCAATGCCTTTTCACAAACTTACCTTTTCAACTACAATTTTTCGTGTTATAATAGATCGCAGCTAAATATAAACTACTTAGTTTTCATCAAAAAACGTTATTCAATAGTAAATTTTAAGGCCCTTATTCATAAAAAATAAAGTTGCTTTAAAAAAGGTTTATAAATTGAAAAATTTTTGAAAACGTCAATTTATAAAGCTCTTTAAACCTACTTTATTTTTTATGAATAAGGCCATAAATATTTTAGATGTATATTGAATAGGAACTTATAACCTTTTTAACTATCAGCAAAACTGACGAAGTGGCAACCATCTATAGAAGGAGGAAATCAGGTGTTACGGAAAAATCTAAATTCCGCAGATTTCGCGCTACGGGCTACAACTACAGAAAATTCTGCGGTGTTGAGTTTTCATTTACATTGCGCTTTGGTAAAGTTGAAATTAGTCGCGAACGCAGAACGTATACTTAAACGCAGTCTGTATACGCAGAATTGTGTCGATTACTGGAGCCCTCAGTGTTGCTTACTGCACTGTTGCCACTCATCAATGCCTTTTCATAAACTTACCCTTTCAATTACAATTTTTCGTGCTATAATAGATTTTAGCTCAATATAAACTACTTAGTTTTCAATAAAAACCTTAATCAATAGTAAATTTCAAATATTTTAAACATATTTTGAATAGGAACTTATATCTTTTTTACCATCTGTAAAACTGACGAAGTGGCAACCATCTAAAGAACGAGAAATCAGCTGATACGGAAAAATCTAAATTCCGCAGATTTCTGCGCTACGGGCTACAACTACAGAAAAATTCTGCGGTATTGAGTTTTCATTTACATGGCGCTTTGGTAAGACAGATCGTGTCAGCTGACTCGGGTTTACGTACCGGTAGGTTTACGTTCTTGACTAATTTCCGCTTAAGGCAGATCGTGTCAGCTGACTCCGGTTTACGTACCGGTAGGTTTACGTACTTGACTAATTTGAGCTTTACAATAGTCTAACCGCCCTATTCCCACACCGCTGACAAAACTCAGTGGCTGACTATTGCCTTTACTACTGCGCCTAATACTATGCCGCAAATTTATTTTAAGCTGTCGTATGACAATTGTCAGTTAATGATGTTTAACCGGCAAGTAGTGATAACCAGACATTGAACAACCGGCCCTTATTGTTATGACCCACTGAGTAGGTGACAACGGCGAAACAATGTTTATATTATGTTTTAGGCGCAGTAATTGTGACAATAATCATATGATGAATTTTGTCAGTGTTGTGGGAATAGGGCGGTAATACATGATAAAAACATAGCAAGGTAGAACCGTTCTCCCAATTTGCCAACATTTTAAAATCATATAAAAGTGAAAATAAAAATTGAAATTGTTCGAAATTGCCCAACAAGCAAAATAAACTTAAAGAAAGTTTTTTTTTAGTTTTCAATTATAAACATTAAGCTTACAAAACGTTGATTTTTTGTTTATAAAACGCTTGAAAGTAAGCGTAATATAATCGAAAAGGAACATTGGTTATAAGCGTAGAAATATAAACTTGTAATAAATGTTCAAAAGAAAGCTTTTTATAAGCGTAAAAGTGTAAACTTATAATAAAGGTTCAAAAAAAGTTGTTTCTAAGCGTATGAATATAAACTTACTAAAAATTTTCAAAAGAAAGCTATTTATAAACATTTTTATAACCCTTTATTTAAAGATATTTCATTAAAAACTCATACATAGATTGCTTAACATCTAGAGACTAAACGAAATGCGTATTTTCGGCGGACTTATCTACAGTCGCGAAAATATAAATAGGGAATAGACATTTTCGCATACAAATTCACGATAACACACAAAAATTAAGCATAAAAAAGTTAATTATTACATCTTGTGGCGTGCTTTCAATTACATGCGGTTATTGGCAAATTGGAAAAACGACATCGATGCAGCTATATATTCCGCTTCATCGCCGCCATTCTCATTGATGAACTTTTCTGAAAAAAATTTATACATTTTTAATTGAATGTTAAACTAAGAAAGGATAAGGAGAACTCATCATTTGAAGACTCGAATGCTCCACCGATTAGCGCAGCGGGTCCTGGATTGGATTTTTTTTTTACCGCATCGGTTTTATTTAATTTTTTCTTTTAATAATATATTTTATAAAACGTAAACACGTCACTTACGATTGAAAAAATGTTATATTTACTACTTCATGTCGTTGGCATTTGTATTTCATTTATAAGTTTAAGTTATTTATAAACATTCGCTCTCAAAACTTATTAAAGGTTTATTTGAAAAAACTTTAATAAGCTTAATATTAAAAATGCTTATTTGACGCTTATTATAGCAAACTTACTTTAAGTTATTTTTAAAAACATTTACTGAAATGCTTGTTGGGTGTTGTTGCTTGAGATTGAAAATGAAAATGTGTGTGTGAGTTTGTGAGTAAATTTAAAAATTAAATTGTTTGGAAACGTCAAGAATTTTAAAAGTGACTCTCAGCGGTTCTACCTTACTATATTTTTATCATGTCGGTGAAAATTTCGTTGCGAATGAGGCGATTTTGCTATACACAACGCAAGCGGTTTGATCAAACATCAACATGGCGGCCAGAAAATCAAAAAATTTTGATTTTTGCTCAAATTTCCCTCAAGCGGTTTGTCAAACCTTCAAACACCCCCATACACAGCACAAATGGCTTGAAGCAAAGGGAAATTTCGCTTGGTTTGTCAAACCGCTTGTGTGGTGTATTTCGCTGATACATCGATCAGCTGTTAATTTTCCCATTCTTCTTCTTCCTGATAATTATCTGCTAGAAAAGAAAAGAAAAAAGCCTCTGTTACACACAAAATTGGAAAATGCATTGTGTAGTGAGTAAACAAAGCGCTAATTAAATTACCGTAATAATTTATGTATTTGCGCTACGTGAATGGTTGGATATTATACAAAACTTAATTATTGGTTATAGGTGCTTTAACGGAATAATTGTTAACTAAAGATACTGTTAATTAAACGAATTTGTCAAGGAAACGCTGGAATATGAAGGCATCAAAAAACCGATTGTCTAGCCTGGCTGAGGACATAACCATTCCGGAAGATGCACCATTTCGAGCCCGTCTACACATACTTTTCGGCCAAATTGAGAAGGAATTTGAATTGTTGTACTTGGAGAATTTAACATGTTAGTTACAAAACTAATAAAATGATAAATTTTTGCACATACATATTTATATATCTTAATTTTTTCAACCAGTGCAAGAAAAGCTCGACAACTGTATGAATAAAGACCTTATAGCATCATATGAACGTTCGGCCGGAGTAATTGCCGCTGGTGGAAGTAGCGCGAATGCCTTTGGAACACATGCTTCTAATACAGGTTTGACAAGTTCTGCTCAAGCAAATATTCTTACCACCATGGGACACGAGGATGTCGACACTCCGACGCTTGCACCAATTATTGGAGGTGGTGGCGGAAGTAAGGGCCTGAAAGCTAAGTTCACATCAAGCAGTAGTAAGGTAAAGGCTAGTAATAAAATCAAAGCACAGACAAGTCGAATAGTATCAAGCTTCAAAGCGCAATCAGTAGTTAGCCAAGTAACAAGAGAATTTTGCGGGCATAAAGACGGCGTTTGGCAAGTTACAGCCAAAGTTGGTCAGCCGATTATTGGAACAGCCTCTGCGGATCATACTGCTTGCATTTGGAGCGTAGAGAATGGCCGATGTTTATTACAGTATCAGGGCCATGCTGGTTCAGTTAATTCTGTGAAATTTCATCAGAATCGCGACCTGGTTTTGACAGGTAGTGGTGACGCAACTGCTCACATATGGCAGGCAGCTGTTAACTGGGAGTACTCCAAGTAAGAAAAATAAAAATTCTATTTCGGAAGAGTATTCTATGCAGTTTATACATAGGGAAACTGGACTTCTTATGTATATTTCAGGCGAGGTCATTCATCGGAGGAGGAACTCGAAGATAGTGACGAACAGATAGAAGATCGCGATCGCGTTGACACTTTACGTACACCATTGTGCGAGTTCACTGGTCTGGGCGGTCACTCATCAGTAGTGGTTGCTGCCGACTGGTTGCCAAGCATGGACCACAGGCAAATAATTACAGGCAGCTGGGATCGCACAGCAATCTTATGGGACGTAGAATCGCGTGAACCTATACAAACTCTGACTGGCCACGATCATGAATTGACACACGTATCGGCACACAGTAGCCAGCGCTTGGTAGTGACAGCATCACGGGATTCGACGTTTCGTCTCTGGGACTTTAGATGTGGAATTCCTGCTGTATCTGTCTTTCAAGGTAACACAGAGTAAGTGATTTCCCCTTTGTAAAAATTAATTTCCACGTAATTAATGTATTACAAATTAGGAGTGTTACGTCGACTGTGTTTGCACGCGACGATAAGGTGGTATCCGGTTCGGATGATCGCACAGTGAAAGTATGGGAGTTGCGCAATATGCGTTCGGCTCTCGCCACAATACGCACGGATTCATCAGTAAATCGTTTGGCGGTTTCCAGCGGTGGAATTATTGCCATCCCACACGATAACCGACAAATACGTTTATTCGACTTGAATGGACAACGAGTAGCGAGATTGCCAAGGACAAGCCGTCAGGTGATACTAATTTAATAAAATATCTACAAAAATAACTCAGAAGAACGCTCAAAAAGTGATGGCTGTAAAAGTTGGTTCCCATTTTTTTTACAGTCCAAGAACAGAAAACAAATGAGTGCAAAATTTAAAAAAATAATTTTTGAATTAAAAATATCATGACCAGGACTTTTTCAGACAATGCGTGAAGGTCGTGCACGTGTCGGATCTCCTACTATTATATCGATCCCNTACAGTCCAAGAACAGTAAACAAATGAGTGCAAAATTTAAAAAAATAATTTTTGAATTAAAAATATCATGACCAGGATTTTTTCAGACAACCCACTCGCGAAATATTTCATACTAAATAGATTTCATCCATTAAACAGATGCGTGAAGGTCGTGCACGTGTCGGATCTCCTACTATTATATCGATCCCGCTCCGTTAACTTTTTTTTAAATAATAATTCTCAATGAGTCTTATTTCTTCAAATTCAAATTAAGATAAAAAAGAAATGGTAACCAACTTTTTCAAATCCTTTAGTATTTTCTCATTATTTGATCAGCTTAATCAAATACTGTTGGCCCGATTCTCATCACCTTAAAATTTTTGAAATTTGTTGTACAGTGTAATTAATGATAAATATTTTTGCATTTCAGGGTCATAGACGTATGGTATCTTCCGTTGCTTGGGCTGAAGAGCCACTACTCAATTGTGATTTGTTTTCATGTGGTTTTGATCGCCGAGTATTTGGTTGGTCCATTATTTTACCCAAAGACAATTGAAAATTACTAAAAACGGCAATGTTTTAAACATAATTTTAAAATCCTAAATCCGGGAAGAAATTATACACATCAAAAGCAAAAACAAGATGGCGAAATCACGAATTTATTTATATGTTTATAACTTGTAAGATTAGTTGGATATCTGCTTAAAAGAGTAGTTTCCAACAGTATTAACAAACGAGGGTTACATCATCTTCATATGCATATGTATCTTTTTTCATTTATTCGCGTTTACGACAATAACACCTATTGTCTTATCTTGTAATAATTAAATATCTAATTTATCAATTAAATTTAAATTATGTATTTTATTTTTTGAAATTGCAAAGTTTTTTATATGAAACCCAGATCCTGAAACACTAAAGAAAAAAGTTGCAATATTATTTTCAAAATGATCTACGTACATTTATGTATGTATCTCCATAAACGAATTTACTCCATTATTCTTTTTTTTTTTCAGTAATACGATGAAGGTGCTTTACAAAGCCTAACATACCTAAGAAACTTTACAGCTTTATGTATATATGTCTGGGCTATCACAAAATCCATCGTAATCCGATTTTTTGTGAATTCTACGAAAATGCTATCATGGAATTCGAATAGCTGCGAGCGTAGCGTATACTTTGAATACACACGTTCGTGGCGATTCGGATTCATTGATCGCTTTTCCGTAGAGTTCACGAAAAATCGGACTACGATGGATTCTGTGATAGCCACCATTATAAAAATTCATGTATATGTACATGAAAAATACATGTGAACATCATTTGCCAAATTTTAAAATTCAATGCGAATATATTTAACTCTGCATTAATTAACTGCTGATTGATGTTTCTTCTTCTTAATGTAACACTGCAACGTTGTTGACGTGTTTGTGATCGCTCTGCGGAAAATTTTTAAAAAACAGCCGAATTGTTGGGATTTTTACCAGCGTTAGAGCCAGTGACTTAAATAGCGAAGTGCTAATAAACTGTGCTATTTGCAAGCACAAAAATTTGTTTCATTTTGATTAAACAAACAAATAAATATAGCTAGAGACATAAAAGTGCAGTGAGGTGACAA